GCTGAACTTACAACTTTACGTATTACAGATGCCGGAGTAACAGGATATGCAAAAAATCAGGGTCAACCAGATATTCCTAGAAAATTTAGATCTATGGAAAAGAATCAAGAACAAGCCAAAGAACTACTCACTTGGATTCAACGTGCTATATCATCTGGACGAATGGGTGATCCAGGTAAGCCAGGAGTTAAATGGTTCAATAAATTCTTAAAAGATTATGATTTAATTCCCAAATACTTACGAAAAATGGGTGCTGTTTATGGTGTGGTAGTACATGAGGCTAAGAATATGGCCCACGCTTATACAATTGCTGGAGAATGTCTACGTCATTCATCTGATAACCATACTTCTCCTGTGCAAAATTACGTTGTAGTCAATTATAGAAAAAGAGGAGTTCCTTATGAACAAGCAAGACCATTCCATCTCTATGATGATCAAAATTAATCACGCTTCTTCACTTTTACCATATCTACAGTAAAATCTTCATCATCATTAGACGATTCAGACCCATATGAAACTGATTTTATTTCTGCAATTAGTAATTATTAGTTATTTTTTTTCGGTTGAATATATATATCACATAATATAACTTACCATGAAAGTAAAGATAGTTAAAGCTAAAGTAGGGGAGCAGAAAGTTAATTGTCGCCTCGAACCAGGATTTTTGGGGATCTCTATGTGTACTGATAAACTTCTCAAGAAAATTGGTGGCAAAATTAGCAGAAAGTTGACTTCTGAAGAAAAAGATAGTAAATTCGTCAGAGAAGAAACCACAGCTCCACTTGGATTGGCCATAATCCCAATTACCTTTACTTCTAATGTAATAAACAATAACCGCCTTAGTAATTATGAATCCATCACAATTCCGACTAAAGTGCTTGTAGAAAAATATGACCCCAAGATGCCTAATTATATCCTGCTTGGTAACAATTGGTTCTATGGACGCAATAACCATGGAATCCAGACGTATTTACCGGAAATAGTAACAGATGCAAAAAATGCTTTTGTAAGAACCACCTTACGCATTAAGGACCTCAGATGGAAAGTTGATACAACCAAAGCTAAAAAGAAGCCAAGGGTTAATGTATCTGTTAATAAAAGAGATATTCATGATTTTTACAAAATACTTCCTGGGAGATCGAAAGATTCACTGTCCCACAGATTAAATATCTCTACATCTTCTGATTCAGATGCTTCCGATTCGATTACTTCGGATAGCAATTCAGATAGTTCTTCCACATCTAGTTCGGAAATAGAAGCTATACATAAGACTGAAGGTGTAAGGAAACGCCCTATTCTAAAGCGTAAAGTAAAACGTAAAGTTAATTATCGGGGTTTATAATAGAGTTACATATAGTATTTCTGGTACACATTAACACATCTGATTTTATATAATCATAAGGCATGAAATATTTTTCCGATTAAAGATATATAACATACAATTTAAGAATGGCGCAACTATTGCGGAGCAATGATGATGCAAAGCATCGAATCTCCGATTCCCCAAAGGGTCTGGCACGTAAGTGCCCTCACTTTGTGAGAAACATTTTTGATTTACCCGAATTACTAGAACAGATCTTATATTTTTTAGAAATCGATCGATCCCTCTATCCTGCTTTATTTGTTAATCGGCTTTGGTACAAGTGTGGTATACCGCTACTATGGAGGAGAGTTGAGTTAAAAGGTAATGATATTCATTACGGGCATTATTTCCCAGTTGAATATAATTATTGCGAACGATATCGAACGCGGTTAGAAAGTTTCATAAAGCTGATATGCGAGGAGAAAAAATCTGTCTATGCCTCAAACCTGAAAAGCTTAAAAATTTCATATTATTGTTCAATTACACACAAATTAATTAGATCTATCATAAATTACTGCCCAAATATAATTCATTTAGACTTTAAAAAAAGCGTGGGCATTAGTGATAAGACACTAATTAGAATAGCTTCATCATATCCAAATTTAAAACATCTTAATTTATGGGATAATCGAATGATAACTGATGAAGGACTATGTCAAATTGCACAATCATGCTATAAATTGGAATATCTAAATATTTCCTACTGTAGAGGTATTACCGATAAATCATTGATAGCAATTGCGGAATCGTGTCGTAATTTGAGAGAGTTTTATTTTAATGAAGCGCATTGAATTACTGATAGAACTGTAAGTTGTATTTTAAACTCATGCTCTAATTTACGATGCTTAGGTATACCGGCTAGTCGTGGAAAAATCAAAGATGCTGATATGTTAATACAAGCACATCTCAAAATAGAGTATCTCGATTTCGCCGGGGTTATGGCTTTTCGAAACGATTTTCTTATTGTAGCTATTATCAGGTCTTCTCCAAATTTAAAACATTTCAATATTTCCCATAATGATGTCGGCGATGAGGTTGTTGAGGCACTAGCTCATACATGCCACGAAATAGAATATCTTGATCTTGGAGGGTGTGATTTCATTACCGAACCATCGATATGCAATGTTATTCGTTCTTGTACTAAACTTCAGCATCTTAAACTTGGATTTTGTGACATTTCCGATAAAACAATTAAAGAAATAGCCCGTTCGTGTCCTAATTTAAAATATCTTGATTTGGATAGTTGTGAAAATATTAGCGAAAAAGTAGTAAAACGACTCAATCCAAGTATACATATTGAAAATTACGGTTCATCATATGAACAATCCGATTCTGGATTGTCTGATACGTAATAAACTATATTCACTATGTCACGTTATAACGGGCCTCAGGGGAGCGATATCATGTGTTTTATTTCAACAAAGTCCCATGATTCGAAGAATCGCCTAACGGCCTGCTATGCAATAATGCGCAACGATTATCCGAAAAAATTGATTATGATAGTGAATATCGAGTTGAATTGGTCAGGCCTTCAGAGGACGTTAATATGTGCATTAGCACTAGCTCCGCTATTCGAAATCGGTAGTCTATGCTTCCACCGTTACTATTTGGATTGAATTTTGATAGGCCTTCCAGCATTTGAGACGATAAGTTTTTGTATTGACATAATCTCCACTACCCCATTCACCCTCTACATTATATCTTATATTTTCTTTTTTATGATACAGAATAAGTAAAGTAATCACTATATCCAGTTTGAGCAATATAACAATTTATGAATAAGCTATGCATATAATCAATTTTATTACACATGATGCTAAGTCATTGTATTCAGCCATGTAAAGATTTATAAGGTTAATCAAGATTAAAGATTTTTCTATCAATAAACTCTCTAAATTTATATATTTTCTTAGGAATAGTGACTTCTGGATTTTCATCATACCATACTTCAAGAAGATAAATCCCATTAAGTTGACAAAGGGTTCTTTTCTTTCGATCACGGTTAACAATATCCTCGAGTTTTTTGACATCTTTATACCAGCTAGTGTTATGGAGCCGATGCTGAGCTCCTTGCACCTCTAATGCAATTCGATTACTTCGGAAGAAGGCATCAAGTTCTAATCCTTCCATAAAAGATGGACGATATTCAACTACGGGTTCCTCATTAAGAAGTATCTGGGCTATTAGAATACATTTTTCCTGAAATTTTCGATTTTTCTTAGATTCTAATTCTTTTTTAAGTTCATCTATATTCTGTTCTAATTTCACAACTCTAGCTCTAAGTTCAGCGTTCTCAGCAACAGTATCTGTCCTATTTTTCTCTAACTCATCGATTCTGCTCTTGAGTTCGGTGTTCTCTTCCATAGTCTGTCTTCTGTATTTTTTATACAAAGCATAGATCTATTCAAATTTCGATTTATGAGTTAGTACGTACACATTGATATCCATGCAATAAAGTATGTATAGATATCGGCATATAATCTTTTTATTATTCCGATGTGCATACACGAGTTAAAAAACATAAGCCTTAAATGCGGACAAACTTTATTATACTAAAAAAATAACCACGACTATATTATAAGTAGATGAGAAACTTCCTATACCCGATAGAATATACATGTATATAACTGATAATTTCAGCATCACATTTGTATTCAACCGTATTTATACGTATAAGGAAATCACTACCGTAAATGGCCATATAAAAGGCCCGGGGTATATTGTTCAGAAACTGGAGGGTTTTTTGTTTATCTTAAATTATTAGTAAAAGACCCGGGTCTCCTAAATTCTCAGATATGGGTATAATAGAGCCCGTGATTGATGCATGGAATAAACACAATGTTAACCTAACCTTTATGACTGCAATCAATCAAAATTCGGAATATCTGGTTGACCCTGATTTTTTGCATATCCTGTTACTCCGGCATCTGTAATACGTAAAGTTGTAAGTTCAGC